TTTTTTTTTTTTTTTTTTTGGTACCGGGGATTAAACTCAGGTCCTTGCACTTGCAAGGCAGGCCACCAAACCACTGAGCTAAATCCCCAGCCCTGTCTCCTCCTTTTAAATGAGAAAATAAACATTCCTATAACCACACATATACAAAAGTAGCGAACCTCTTTCTCCGATGGCAACTTTTCTCATGTTGGAAAAGAAGAAAGGAAAATCAGAGCAGGAAGCAAGGCTCTACTGAGCACCGTGGAGGTGGCTTGGAGAAAATCCTTCAAAGGCACAGGAAACCCCTGCTTCACCTGTGGCTGCAGTCTCTTTGGCACAGAACACGGTGACAGCATCGTAACAGTGATGCTGATGTTGGAAAAACACTCGTGGGAAAATAGGCAGGATGGTGTAAAAACTATGGGAGCAGCAACTGGGGGAACTGTGCTAGGAAAGGTGGGCACCAGTTGTGTGCTGTTTTCAAATTCCTGGAAGAGCTCATTTGCAAAAGAAAGCTAGCTCTGTACCTGTCCTTGCTCCTGGGGCTCCAGCGGGTCCGCCTGAGACCGCTGGGTGGGTAGAAAGAGGCAATTCGGGCCTCACAACCCTGCCAGGACTGCAGAGTGCAGAACTGGCCCGCGCCATGCTAACCTCCTCTCCCCGCACCATCTAGGAGGCGAGGTGTCTCAGAACGCTGACAGCACCCGGGTCCTGCCAGTCCCTTTACGCAGATGGCCACACGCTCAGCATGCTCCAGAGTCTGCATGGAGAGTTGAGGAGGTAAAGTCCTGCAAGAGCTCATGGTCTTTAAAGTCCCATTATGAGGCCGGCTTTCATAGTTCTGTCTGAACAGACAAATCCCCACCCTAGAAACTGCGCGTGGCATTTGGAATCCAGCGCAGAAGGTCAGCAGAGCTTACCATGTGCGGAAGTTGAACTGAAGCCTCACCGGACCTCCCCATCCCCCACCCCAACAATGGCTGGGCTCAGGGGCATGGACGTGAATAAGGAGCACTAGAAACCAGAGCTCTCCCTAATCGGGTGAGTGGCAGGGAGAAGGGGCCTCAGGTCTGGCCTCCTCCAGCAAAGACAAACAGAGAGTATCTGACACGCGTAGCTCACGGGACCCCACTGTCAGGAGGTGGGAAGAGCCTGCCCTAATACATCTGGTGACCAGGGGCGCGGATTCTCTGTGTCAAGGCGTCATTATTCAAAGTGAGACCCTCCCTCCGTGGGGATAATCAGAAACAGCTCGGGAATGAAACAAGCAGTGGGATTCTTAGTCTTAGCTAGGTAAGCCCCGCCTGATGACTTCACTTCGCTTGTGGCCATCTGGGTTTTCCAGGACTCCCTCCCTCCTAGGATCGGAATCCAGGGGAAGGCTAAACTTACCGCTTCAAACAAAGGCTGGAGATCCCTGACACTGGCAAGGAGGGTCTTGTAAACAGGTACACCCCACCTTCCAGGCTGGCCAAAGGCAAAACTCCACTTTGCTTTGGCAGCAGATCCTCATCCTCAAGAGCAAAAGCCTTTAAAATAGAGAGAAAAGCTGACTGTCTTCAGAGATGCAACTTTTTAATTGTTTTCAATATCTGGCTTGGATCTATTAAGGAAATGCCTATTTTCTATGTAGAACAGGGGCAGACAGATCTCGAGAGATTAAAAAATCATGTTCTTGTGGTTTTCTTTTAAAAGCTGCAAATTTGAATCCAATTTTTAAAATCATGGCACAGAGACAAACTGAGAATGAACAAAGATGGGAAAAATGACCGTGCCCCTCTGCAGTCAGGAGCAGCCTGGATGTGTATGTTTCCAATTATAGCCACCACGGCCCAGCGAGCTGCAGGAGAGAAACACAGATGGAGCCGTGCAGTGTGCTGTACAGAACCTGGCCCAGGAAAACGTCACAAAAATCTGTCTTTCAATTAAAGCAACTATAGGGCTCATTCAGTGCATTTCAAGAAAGAAAAAAAAAAACCTGTGAAAGAAAACTTGTGTGATTTCTCTCTTGCCTCCTTAAAGTCACTTGTTTGGTGCAAGAATGCACATTTAGTGTTTTCTTGGTTGCTTTTAAAACAACTGTGGTTCACAGAGAGAATGAGAGTAAATGAGAGAGCAAAAGAACGCTCGGGCCTCAGCTGACCTGAAGTAACAAAGGCTCCCGAGGAGACCCAGTTCCTAGTATGCGCAGGTGCAGACCAACAGCCGGTGATAATTGAACACGTAGAGGTTTTAACAAGATAAATGGTTATGTGAGTCAAGGACGCTAATTTCTGACTTCATTTGAGCTGCAAGAAAAAATATACTGACTATAGATACACACACAGCAAGAACAGCAGCTTCCATTCCCACTGGCTGATGGAAAATAATTTCTGAGGCTGAAGGTTATTTCATGAATCCAGAAGAAAGCTTGGCTCCTCATGTTGTACCTTCATCCAAAATAATTCTGGTTTGAAACAGGTGTTCTTTGCCTGGGACTTTATAGGTGGAGCTGGAGTATCTGGAAGCACTTTGGATCCAGCATGAGGCAAAAAACAAGGGGAAACTACAGTCTCTGGCTTCCTCAGTCCCATGCCCAGAGGTGCCTGAGCTGAGAACGAATGGATCTTTGAAGAGACTGAGGTTTTGATAACACTGACCCTTCCGACTCCCCGTACCTCAGGTATGATCACCCCATGTTCTCATGGTGATGTATGAGCGAGGTAGACACAAAAGAAATATAAAGCAGTTGAACATTAAATTACACCATTGGCCCAACAAGCCTCCCAGTTCTCTATCAGTCAATTAACTACGGATTCTAGAGACGTTGGGTCCAAAAAAGAATGACTTGGAGGGTCCTAGTCCTTTTCCTCTCTGTGTCCCCGCACCTGGAAATCAGCAAAATGCTTGTTGCATCAAAATGAAGTCATTCACTTTGAGATTTCAGAATTCTAAATTAAAGAATACACAAAATAAAGACTCATTAAACTCAGGGCAGACACCTAAACAAGGTCGCAGAATCCTTTTCTCCAGAAACATTTCCAAGCAGGATATACAGAGATCCGCCCCAGGGATTTGAACTCTAGGCAGCACATGGCCGGGACTTGGGATGTACAACCCAGCATTCCGACTGGAGGATTCTAGACCGCGCCTCTGCTTCTCCACATAAGCCAGCCATCCTCCCGTGGAAATACAAAGACAGCTGCCCATATAAAAATGCATCGCTTTTTATTTTAGCTTCTTTGTATCAAACTCAAAGAAGCCTCTCATAAAATGATCAAAGACTTTTTAGCGGTTCTTGCAAATGTACATCCCGGCAGCAGTGGCCCCACTTCAATGCTTTTCTGTGAATCCTCTGAAAATGAAGGTTTGGAAGATGCTTGCCAATGGAATCCTGTGCCTCACAGCTATAATATTTTCTAAAAGGCACTCACTTTAAATTAATATATTTGGCCAGACATCTGTATTAAAATTTTGTTATTTTTTCAGTTATAATGGTTGCCTGTCTTCTTCAAAACTCTGCGCAGTTATTGCTTCTCTCTTGCCTGGGGTACATCATGTGTTTTTCATCTGAGTGCAATGCATCGCAATACCTCATTAAAACAAACACCCGGGCTAAACCAAAGTCTTCGTATCACGCCACGAGGGCGTCAGCGAACTCAGGAAGTTTCAGAGCCTCGTAACTCACTGCAAACCGCCCTCAGACCAGCTGCTCAACTGATATTTAACTGTGCTGGGTGATGTCACAGTATCCATGCTCTTAAAACCTCCTGCCTTTGGAAAGTGCATACATATGTACATGTGTGAGTGTATATATATATTTTTTTTGTTTTCAAGCATTAAACCAGGGAGTGATGGTGTACATGAAGCCATTTTTTCCCTATACAAGAATCTCCCGGCCCAAACACCCCCACCACCACCACAAGCACACACCACGTTGCTTATACTTTGTCAGGCAACAAGGAGTCCTAGGAAATCATGTGCAAAAAACCCCCAAAGAAGCCCTTGCATGTGCCCTCTCCTGCTGGACAGCTCCTCTGCTCAGGAATCCCTGGGCCAGAGGCGCCCTTGGGGCTGCTGGGACTCGGCCTCTGCTCTCAAGCCCGGCATTGCTCCCCGACTCATATTAACCTTGCTTTGAGCCACCGGGTCTTGTCTAGAGAAGAGCAATTTGTAATTCTCTGTTAATCCTACATCTTTTTCTCTTCAGGTTTGAGAGAGGAAGTTGCTTTGGACATCTCAGCAAGGTCCCTGTGGCCAAAAGAACACCCTTAAATTAAGTTAGGCACACACACTTAAATACCACGTGGTTTCTCTTACAGGAGAAGCCCAAAGTATAAATAAAGAGCAGCATAAAAGAGAAACGACAGGAGGTAGGGAGAGCGATCTTTTGAAAAGGGAAAGAGGAAAGGGGCCGGGGATTTAACTCAGTGGTTCTGCCAACTGCTCCCCAAGCGCAAGGTCCCAAGTTCGATTCCTGGAACCCAAAACAAAAGACCTATCAGGAAGAGCACCTGACTTTCATGTTGGGCCGGGGATTTAGCTCAGTGGTTCCACCGCCTGCCTTGCAAGCACAAGGACCTGAGTTTGATCCCCAGGACCAAAAAATTAGAAAATAAGAGGAGGAGCAAGAGACGGAGGGAAAGAGGAGGGGAAGAGGGGAAGCGGGTGAAAAGGGAGCTGAGATGCATCCGAGCCCCAGCTCCATGGGAGGAGCGCAAACACTGCGCACTGCAAACACGTGCTAATAAAAACTAATATCGGCAAACAGTCCGCAAAAGGACACCTGGCTCAGAGAGTGCTTCAAAGCCGTGCACGGGAACCCTTGCACCTGACCACTTAGCCTGCTTTCCAATGACTTCTGAAGTTACCGACTGATGAGGAAAGCGCCACACACACTCATCTTTCCATAAGTGTTCTTGGACCTCACATCCATAGCGATGGACGTTAGTAAAACAAAACAAAACAAAACAAAACAGTGCCGGGTGAGGATATGGAGAAACTGAAATCTCCATGCACCTCGAGCAGCAGTGCGACATGGAGCAGCCTCTATAAGAAACTCTACAGTCGTTCCTCCAAGACTTAAAAACAGAATTACGGCGGAATCAAGCAAGTCCACGTCGAGCACACGCTCACAGGATCTGAAAGCAGGACCTCAGAGAGGTGCGTTCAGCATCACTCGCAACGCCCAGAAGGCGGAGGCCATCCGTCCAGGCGTCCACGATGCCGGAAGGGATCAAAGCCACATGGCGCATCCGTGCAGTGAAACCTGACGTCAGCCCCAAAGGAGGGGCGACTCTGACGTGAGCTGCGGTGGGGATGAACGCTGAGGACACCGTGCTAAGTGAGAGAGGCAGCCACAGCAAGGCCAACGCTGTGCAATTCCACCCCCAGGCGCTGAGAGCCGTGGCTCCGAGCGACCAGAAGTAGATTGTGCAGCTTAGAGAGCCGGGTGAGGATGATCAGGTACAGAGCGCCAGCTTTGCCAGATGAAAAGATCCTCGAGATCAGTTGTACCTCGCTGCTGAAACGTGCAGCGGTTAAGAGAAAGCCTTTGATGTTATCTGTATTCATAATACATAGCAGTGCTATGGAGCTTAAAATGATTAAGGTGATAACTTTTATGTCTGGTGCATTTTAGCACAATTAACAATTTTTGAAAAGCTCCTGATAATAGTACCTGCCACACCTCAGATCCACTTGGTGTCTTACATTGCAGAGGATTTGATGGCTTTCAGGCTCCCGGTCCTTATATTCCTATTGATTCCTTCTTTCACAAAGCAATTTTACAGAAAACCCACTATGGACTGGGCCATGTGCCAGGCAGCCTGGAAGACACAAAGATGAATCCGCCATGTGCCCTACATGTAAAGACCTCACCAGCCAGGCATGGTGGTGCACACCTGTAATCCCAGCACTTGGAGAGGCTGAGGCAGGAGGATCGCTGTGAGTTCAAGACCAGCCTGGGTTACATAGTGAGTTCCAGGTCAGTCTCAGCTACATAGTGAGACCGTCTCAAAACAAATAAACAAAAGAACTAGGCTCCCCCAGAAGCATGCTAACTCCCTCAGGGAACACACCTGCCACAACCTGAATACTTTTCACCGGCATCCACCTGTGCAGGGCTCCACACCACCTCTCACATCAGCAGGAGGACCAGGTTCCCAACTCATGAACCAGTAAGGACACATCACGTTGTACCAGTGGCACAGCAGCCCCGGGTGGAATACTGTACTGCAAAGTTAGCCCTCAAGACTAACTTCTACGCAGGGGCTGGGGACACTGCATGGCCATCAATCTACATCCCTGCTTAGGGACCAAACAGGAGAGCTGGTCATGAGTCACGGAGGAGGAGCCACTGCAAGGGCAGCCCACACACTCACTGCGGCTGTCTCCTGGCCTCGAGTCCTCTCCATCTTTGTCTGTCTACCGTGCAATGCCACCCGACCTCCCGTCCCAGCTTCACCCTCTGCAGTAAGTCTCCCCTGGACTGCCAGTGCGCGCTCAGTTACCTTCCTAGGTGGGCAGCCGGCAGTGCTGCA